ACACACACACACACACACACACACACACACACACACACACACACACAGCTACTCCATGTTGCCAGATGTACAATGCCTTTGAAATCACGGTAAGTGCCAAAGTCTTTAGAGTCAAGGAACCTGGCCTCCAGCCCCTATTAGCTCACAGCTCTGTGCTCTTGAGCAAGTCTCCACACCTCAGTTTCATCATTCATCATCAATAATATTTGTATTAATTAACTCAAGGGGTTGGCATGTATAAAGCATTTGGTAATACTGGTAATAAAAAGTTTTTTATATGTTATTATTTATTAATAATAACTATCATTGTTATCAAGAAATATTGGGCTGGACATAGGGTTAATTGTTATTCATTATTCTTTTGGTTTCTTAAAGGATGGGATCCTCTTGGCTGAGAGTTCAAGTGTCACTAGTGATTAAAGAATCAGTATGACCAGGCCCTGGCTCAGGGGCAGAGTGGGAACGTTAGTGCCCACGTTACCATTGGGTCATCAGGTTAAGCCAGGGGTGGGTATTCTGGGACCTTGGGGCCAAACGTGGCCTTGAGGCTGCAGCAGTTCATGTCTGCTAGCAGCCACTTTGCTAAGTTTAGGAGCCGGTACTGAGGGTAATGGGAACAGCCCAGGAAAACTGCTCTGAGAAATGATGTAGTCACTTTCTGCCCCCTCGGCCCACCCAAAGCAGCTCCGTCTCTCTGGCATGCTTTTCTCCTTAAAGGGCACTGATAATGCTAGGTGTTGTATGACATGGGGTGTTATGGTAAGCCTCCTCCATGTGGCAAAGGCATCAGATCTTCCAGGTACCCATGGCCCTGCTGTCCCAAGTGTTTCCTTTTGAGAGTCTTCAGGCTGACCTGAATACCTCTGCCTCTCTTCTTGTATTACTCAGGGATTGCTACTATGACAACTCAACCACGTGCCCCAAATGTGCCCGGCTGAACTTGCGGAAACAGTCCCTCTTCCAGGAGCCCAGTCCAGAAGCTGAGGCCTAGAATGCTGGCACTCCTGCCCCAGTGCCCTGCCAACACACCAGCCACTGCCAGCACCAAAGACAAGGTGTCGCGATATTAAGGAGACTCCCTAGTGATTCAGGGAGCCACTATGCTGCTGGCTCTTCTCCCTCCTGTGGGGCTGAAGACGTGAATCGAAACAAGGACAGGCATGCAAGAGCACAGAGGACAGGGCTCTTTTGGAATGAAGAAATGAGGGTGATTCTTGGGTACCATGTTGTACAGCTGATGTCATGCCAGTTATTAGGCAGGGCTATGGTATGAGGTGGTCTAACTGGGCAGAAGCATCTACATTAATCTCAGCCACTGTGTTGGTGGGAATGGGGTGTGGGGAGGGTGTCCTCATCTCCCCAAGGAAGCAGAGCCCAGGGGACCCAGGATGCAGTGACCAGGGACCTATTTGGTTTCTTTTCCTGCTTGGTGTGTGGACAGCTGTGTGTAGACCAAGCTCTGCCCCTGGAATGGCAGGGAAGCAAGTTAGCTACCAGCATGGACACTGGGAAGGTAATCAATAATACCCAATGAATATGGGCTAATCAGACCGTCGAACCTTGAGGTTGTGAGGAACTTCTTTCCTGAGATTGTCCATGGTTCCCTGAAAGGAAGGGGTTTTATCTAGTATCCCTCTCACCACCTCCCTCCCTGGGACCTCTAGCCTTTTGGAGGCTGCTAGTTTTATTGGCTAAGGCTGTTAATTATCACCTAGTATTGCCCTGCTCCCCATGTCCTTGCTAGAGTCACCTGGCCAAGTGGGAAATTTCCTTCTTATTCTTCTAAGTCCTTTCTCAAGGGAAGGGGAAGCCCTACAGGGCCAATAGGCACTGCCTGTCTTATATTTTTGCTTATTTCATCTAGCCCTTCTTGCCTCTGCCCATACCTCTGCCAAGGGCAGAGGAAATAGGTGCTTCTCTTGCTGGGTGGCCTGACAACTATTCTTCCTTCTTTGGCTCAGTTTAACTTGTGTCTTTGGTTCCCGGCTAGGCCACCGTATGGGCTAGAGAAGAGCAGCACCCTGAGAAGGGGTGCCTTGGACCCCAGACGATATAAGTGCTGGGAGCTGCTCTGTGTACTGTGTGAAGCCTGACAAAAAGTTTGTTAGGGGAGAAAGAGAGATGGAACACTCTTTCCAAAAGGCAAGCTTCACGTTTCTCTGGACCAAATTGCCAGCCAGGAACCTTGTTTTTGCCAGTCTTGTTCCCCATGGAGGAAGACTCTGGGGCTGGGGAAACCAGGGTTGTAAATCACAAGGCCTTTCCTGAATATTTGGCACTTGTCTTTTTGTTTACATGTAGAGCTGGGACATGCCGGTCCCACTTCTAGCCTCACAGAATGCCCGAGTCTGGGAGCAAGCTGCTTTATTCCCTTCCACAAAAGATAAGTGGGGACGAGACAAGGTGGAGGATGGGGATGGAAAATTTCAATAAGAAACATTTGTATTTGGTAGCCATTTTTCATTGTGGAATTAGAGGCTTTATCTGTTCTAAGACCTTCATCTCTCATCCTTCCTCTTCACCAGGCTTTCTCATTCCTTGAACCTGGGGCACAGGGAGGGCACATACTGTGTTATTTGTTCTATCTGTAGAAAAGCCTCTGATGGAGACCATAGCTGAGTTTCTGATCCCTCCAGTAAGGGGGAGGGTCCCAAATACTTGGAGGAGGAAGAAAACTAGTGTGTCTTGAAAAGGAGAGCCATACCCTACTCCAGTAGTTCAGTCCCTGAACACCCCCATTATATCACTGATAGGAAAGTATCAACTTTTATATCAGAGAGGGAAATATCTGGGTCAAAGGAGGAACATGGAACAAAGATCTCCAGGTTTCTGTGGTATCCTCTAGCTATAGTGAACTGGGTTGGAGTAGCATGTGGAATATCTGCATCTGGCTATAGTTTGTTTGTCTAGGCCTGGTATTTTCATAACGTTTGCTCCCCTTTTCCTTCTCTGCATACATTACCGTGTTTGAGCTGGCCTTGTGCTTTGGTTCTCGATTGCATATGGTACATAAAGTCAGAAAAATAGCTGTAGGACAGGATGGTTCCCTTCTGACATCCATCTCCCTCCCTGATGAGAGTAGAAGAGGGGATGTTTTGTGTAGGCAGAGGGCAAGGTGGCTCCTTGGCCCAAACTGCAAATTGGACAAAAGGATCATGGCCCAGCTAAGTCTCTGAATCTCAATGAACCCTCCTCCATTTACACTCTATTCCCTGCTGGGGCATGTCATGGCAGGAACACAGAGTTATGTTCATCTGCTCAAATTCTGTGGCTTTGGGCAGGTCACTTCACCCGTATGTCTCAATTTGCCCCATCTGGAAAATGGGGATAGTAATACTGACCTACCTCATGGTGGGACTGTGAGAAAGTTAATGTTGGTAAAGCACTTTAGCAGACTAATCGTGCAATGTGAGTGCTAAATGTTATTTTATTGGACCTCATTCTTCCCTATCCTCTTTTGTAATAGAAAAGGGGGAGGAAGAATCAGCTGACTACTTTAAAATGCCCCTTGATCTTTTCTCCATTCCCAAATCCCCACAATTGTTTTCTATATGACACTTCTGATCACTGAATTTGATTTCTGATTTACTGTGCAATTAGGGTCATGTATGTTACTGGGATTCTCCTAACATGTAAGAAGTAGAAAAAGATTACCACCCCCCCAAAAAAAAACCACTTTGCACAAAAATATCAATAGGTTAGCAACTATTGGAAAGAGTTTACTCTCTTTCCTCAAAAACCTTGCCTCCTTTGCTATTCCTCCTGGTGGAATAAGCCCTACTTTCGACATAGATCAAGGGGCCCATAAGTAGAATACTTTCTTTGATTTTCCCCAGTGTCCCAAAGACTATATTTACAAAGGAAAAAATAAGCAAGGGGCCAATTAGTATATGTAACAGACACTGCATTACACTGTGCTCTCTGTAGGCAGATGGGAAATGCCTCCAAGGAAAACAAAGGGGGTTAGGCCTTGTGGCAGTATCTGCCTTTGGTAAGCACAAAGCCAGACTGCTCTATGCCAAGCAAAGTGCCCAAACACTTGCCTGAGAAATGGATTCAGCAGTTGTATTGATTATCCAAATTACTGTATTATTAAATAATTTTAAAGTGTACTGTGATGTGTGGTAAATCCTCCCTGATCTATATATCAACATACCTGATGTGTGTGTGTGTGTGTGTGTGTGTGTGTGTGTGTACACACCTTAGAAGGTATATTGGGCGACAGGATGGGGTGATTATGATAGGTAACAAAGCTCATGGCTTTTAAATAAGAGTTCTGGATGTTTGTGGAAAAGCAATGATTAAGATATGCCCAGAAGTCAAGGAATTATTTCTTTCAGCATCAACCAGAAGTCTCAACAGCCAGGGTCTAAGCCTTTGTGCAACTGAAAGTAGATCTGAGGGTGATTCAGTCTAATTCATGGTGATCACTCTGAGCTTAACTACAGCCACTACTTGGCCAGATATAGCAAACCACCGAGGGTCCATTCATTACACTGCACTGAAATGGCCAAACATTAGTCCACTGGGACCAATCCCCTATGCTTGAATGAAACCTGCTTCAGGTACCTCAAGGCACATACAACAGGATATAAAGTTAGAAAGAAGCTTCTGGGCAGCTGATTTCTAAAATCTTTAAGCATAATTACTCTAACTCTACGAATATCAGGAACTATATTTAGTGTGTTAGGTACAGTTTCTCGTCTTCTAAAAAACACAAATTTAAGGGGTATTTCTAGAATTAAAATTTAATATCTGTAAGTCACAAAATGAAAATACCATAACTAAAAATAACAAACTCTGGCTTGCCCTGCAAAATAAGACATCAAGTCAAGGGAAGGAGACAGGAAGACATTATGAGCCTTTTCTATATCATGAAAATCTCTCCTGTTGCTATTTCATTTTCTTTGATCACTTTACTAAGAAAATTTCTGCCCCTAAAAAGCATTCTAAGACAGTTGCTTTGAACGCCGTTTTTTCTCATTGTACAATTCTCTATAACAGCTTATTGTGTCATTGACTCCTCTTGAAACTTTAAATTTTCTTTCACTATTGGGATCATTATTTGCAAGGATTTGCATGCCTGCCTCGAAATGGAAAAAGGCTTCAGACAATTCTTTTGTGGTTAGCTGTCGGAGGATGGGTGGAGTATCTTCATTCTCTTCCTTTTCTTCTGCAGCTCGCTCTTGTTCCAATTGCCTAAGTTCCTCATTGGACAAGTCTTCATCATGAGACTGTAGCAACTGGCCTACATCTGCCTCTACAAGTTCTCCAAAGCCTATGTCATTTGCAAGGGCCACAACGTCTTGCTGAATCTGTGTAACAGTTTCTATTTGAGAATCATCACGAGCATGCACACACTCAGGCCATATCTTCTTCCACACACTATTCATCAGGGATGGCTCCAGTTCATCCCAGGCTTCAGCAATGTTATCCACAGCATTCATGATGTTGTAGTTTCTCCAAAATTCCCTAACTGTACCCTTATCCTCTCCATCGGCTCCTCCTATGAGATGTTGAAAAGTCTTCCTCAAATAATGAGCCTTGAAGGTGGATATTACACCTTGACCCATGGGTTGGATGGGGTCAGCTTTGTTTTCAATGAGGTATTCCACTCTTACATTATCAGAGAGATCACTTAAATTTACAGGGTGACACGGGGCATTTTCTAGGATGAGTAATGCTTTGTTGGCAAGATTATTTTGGGCACAGTACTTTTCAACAGCAGGGCAAAAAAAGTACGTAAACCATTCGTGAAAGATGCTCCTTGTTACCCAGGCCTTTTTGTTGGAGCGCCAAATCACAGGTAAATTTGGCTTAGAGTAGCCCTTCATAGCCTTGGGATTTTCGGAATGATACACCAGTAAAGGCTTCAGCTTAAAGTCACCGGCGGCATTGCCCCCTAGAAGAAGCATGAGGCGATCTTTGGCTGATCTAAACCCCGGGGCAGCCTTCTCTTCCATAGAAATAAACGTCTTTTCAGGCATTCGCTTCCAGTAAAGTCCTGTCTCTCCAATGTTAAAAACGTGGTGAGGGGTATACCCGCCCTTCTGGATGATGCTTTTCAGCACTTCGGAATACTTAAGCTCACCAGCTGCGCTGGGGCTCGGGCTCGGCCTGGCAGCCTCGTTACTCACCTTGAAGCTGGGCAAGGCGTGCCTTTCTTTAAACCTCACAAACCACCCCCGACTGGCACTAAACGTTTCCACCTGCGAGCTCTCGCCCTGGTCTCGCTGCAAGGCGTCGAACAGACTCTTGGCCTTCTCCTGGATGATCATCGTGCTCATGGGCTCGTTGCGCCGGCTCTGGTCTTCGATCCACAAGCTCAACAGCCGCTCCATGTTCTCCATCACCACGCTTCGGTGCCTGGTCAGCTGAGTGACCCTTAGAGGCGAAGCCGCTTCCGAGCTCGCCTTTATTTTCTCCTTGTTGTCTCGGATCGTGGCCACGGTGGAGATGGCCAGCCCTAAGGCTTTCGCGATTTGGCTGAGCTTTTCGCCCTCTTCAAACCTCCTCAGCACTTCCAGCTTCACGTCTAAAGTGATTGCTTTGCGCTCTCTTTTTGCACGCCTAATGCTGGTCACACTTAGAGGCCTCTTCCCTGGCATTGTCACTGATAAAAATCCCAATCCTCCCTTGGTGGCTGCGGGCCTCTTCTGCCCGGGGTGGAGGGCAGCAGCCTCCTTCTTCTGCCGGGCTCCCCTCGGTCCTAGGCACGGGAGGGCCTGCCAAGGTCGAGGCCCTTGCTGGGGTGAGGACCTCAGGCCACCGATAGGCCCCGGCTTTACTCATTCCCCGGCCCGGGGCACTCTGGGATGGCGCAGTTCTCAGCTTTGCCCTGCTGCACAAACGGAAAAATTGATGGGCCTGGGGGTGTGTGTGCTTTAGGGGGGTGGTGCTGTGAGCCAGGAGGAACTCAATTCCGTTAAGTAGGAGTGGGCGGGGACACAGGGACAAGGTGTTCCTCGCTTTGATTCGTTCTGTCACGGTTAAATAGTTGGAAGGCCTGGAACACAGGCGGGGCGGAAAACTTCGATTCAATGGGAAGACCCCGGAAGTAGGCGTCTGGGAAGGTGCCTGCGCTGGGCATCACCCACTGCCAGGTGCGCAGCTGGAAGGGACCGAAGCCGACAGGCTTTGTCACGCCGCGCGCCGAAGCCAGACGCGGCGTCTTTTTCCTGGCTCTCTTTCAAAGACAGGTTCCGCCGTAGACACCTAAACTGGGGCCCTGGCGGGCTCATTACGCATGGGCAGTGAGGGACCGTCAGGGGGTGTGGCGCGACTATGACCGCTGCGCTCCTGCGCCGGCGCGCGTGTGCCCGGGCGGCGCGAGGTCAAGGGGTGGGGCATGTCGCACAGGCTGCTGGCGGCGGTGGGGAGCCGCAGGGCGGCTCTGCCGCTGGCCGCGCTGTGGAGATGCAGCTGGGGCGCCAGGAACCACAGCACGGCCAGAGTGGGCCTAAGGGCTCTGCGCACCAACCGGCAGGTGAGCGGGGCAGCCGGCACCGGCCTGTTTCCGGTCGGTGCCGAGGGTGACGTTTTTTGCCTCAGCGCCTTGATGACGCCATCGGGGCGCGCCGGATGCGCGGGGGACGCAGGCGGGGTCGCGCAGGGCGGGGCGGGCTCCTGACGCCCCGGGAAGGCCTGGCAGCCCGGCTTGAGTTTAGCTATTCTGGGCCGGGCGCTTTCCTTCCCCACGGGGTTAAGATTTGGGATCTAAATCTGGAAGGGACCTTCGAGCTCATCCCTCCGGCTCCTCCTTCTTCCTCTCACGTGTCGTGCTCACGCGGCCTTAAGTTAAGGTTGCCTCGTGTGGCAGCCTCCTCTCCCTCATTTGATCGTCTGTTTGTACCTAGACGTTGGCACGCTGTGAGCTCCTGGAGAGGAGAGCAGGGACCTGTTGATGCTAGCCTGTGTATCCCCAGCGCTTGACACATAGTAGGCGCTTAAATGCTTATTACCTGATTGGCACTGATTTCTCATCCCCCCAGCCAAGGCACACATGCGTTAATTCACTCAACTTAGTGCAAAACTTAAATGTGCATTTCACTAAGCTAGGCGTCCAGGAGCCAGAGGTAATGTGAGATGAGTAATGTCTCTGTTCTCACAGACGACGCAGCCAAGTCAGTAAGTACATTTGGCTGAACTTGGTTCTGGCTGTAAGTCCCACGATCAAGTGCACGGGAGGGCAAAAGTGCCAAAGGTTAAGATGAGGAGGAGGCACTCTGTTAGAGGCAGAAGAAGAATGTATGGAAATTTTGACAGAAACAGAATATTAGGTGGAAGCAATCATTCAGCCTGACCCCCTCGCATATAGATGCAGAAAGGGAAGGTGACCCAGCTCATGGAGCAGAGATGAACATCATGAAAGAGCTAGCGTTTCTGCTGATTGGCTAGCCATACTAAACGAATTGTTTTTTTACACACTGCTTTTTTCCTCTCCATTCTCATGCACTTGCAATCCCTCAGCCATAAAAGTCGATACACATTAATAATCACCTATTGTGTGTCAGGTACTGTGTTAAGCCCTGGGGACGAAAAGAAAGGCAAAAAAAAAAAATTTCAGGCTTTCAAGGAGGTCACAATCTAATGGGGAAGACTGTACAAACAGGGTATATACAGGGCAAATCATTTATAATCTCACAGGGAAGCCACTGGTATTGAGGGGGACTGGGAAAGCCTTCTTGCAGAAGGTGGGACTTGGTGGTTTGCCCATCGTAGGCCAAAATGTCTCTCCTGATTAGCCAATCCAGGTTTTAGGCCTCTCTCAGGTCTTGGGGGTTCAAAGTGGTTTGGGGAGGGGTCTATAAGTGGGGAGAGAAGAGGGCCTAGGACAGAATCTTGAGAGACACCCACAATTAGTAGACACAATGGGTGTGATGTAGATGAAGAATCCAGCAAAGGAGACTGAAGAGGAGCAGTCAGAGGGAGAAACGGGAGAGAGCAGTGTCAGGAAAACCTGGAGAGAAGAGAATGTCAAGGAGGAGATCACAAATGGTGTCAAAGGCTTCAGAGGGTCAAAAAGGATGAAAATTGGGGGGAAAAAACACTATTAGAATAGGAAATTTGCAGAGAGCAGTTTTATCTCATGGTGAGGTTAAAAACGGGACTGAAGAAAGTGAGAGGAAAGGAAGTGGAAGCATCTATTGTAGATGACCTTTTTTAGGCACTTTTTAGGCACTAGGCCACTAAAGGCAGAAGCAGTATAGGGCGATAATTAGCAGGGGTGGATGGATAAAGTGAGAATTTTTTGAAGGGGAGGGGGAGCACTCACAGGCATAGAGAGAACTTAAAGGTAAGTGAGAGAGTGAGGGTGATAGAGGAGAAAATATGGATAAAACAGGGATCATTTGTGCTTCTAGAGGGGTTTGCCTTGGCAAGCAGAAGGGCCGCTTTGTGTGAGATGGGTTGAGGAAGGAAGTGGCAGGAAGCATCTGAGTGATGTGAAATGAGGAAAAGGAGGGGTGTAGAAGGGAAGGCAGTGGATGGTAGAATAATCTAAACCAGAGGCTTGGCAGGACAAGATCTTTGATGAAAAAAGGAGGTAAGAAATTTGAGAGAAGATGTCATGGTAGAGTTGAACTGGTTCACCAAGGGGTCAGGTTGGAAAAAGGAAGGCAGTGTATAGTCAGTGTAGTGGTGACCTGGGAAAGAACTGGGGGTTGTAGAGATTGGAGGTCGTGGTGAGGACCAAGACTAAGTTTTGGGTTGCAGGGCTGAGGGAGAGGTAGAATGAAGAATTTCAGAGTTACAAACATGTAAGTGGCTTATCATGGGTGATGGCACGATCAAAGATAGGACCATTTCTGTGTAGTTGGGATGGGATGGAAATGAATAATGTTGAAAAACTGAGATTAATGTGTTTGAGGGGAGTATCAATACATATGTCAAAGTCCTCTATTATGAAGGAATTGAGGAGGAGAGAAAGATTATGAACCAGGCATTGAACTTACAGAAAAAGGAAGAAGACTGTCTTGGAGGTTGGTAGACAGCAGCTACCAGAATCTTGACTGGGTGATGAACATGTATTGAATGAAAGAAGAGAGAAACATAGCCAACAAAACACTGACGTTACTGTCCTAATATTAGCTGACACAATAATGCTTTAAAATTTGCAAGTGTTTTACACTATTTCATTTGAGCCTTTAAACAATGAGTCTGTGAGGTAGGTTCTACATTATTATCCCCATTTTACAGATGGATAGTGGTACTCAGAGAGCTCAATGACTTCAATGTGTTCACAAAACCAGTAAGTGTCAGAGGCAGGCTTTGAACCTGGGGCTTCCTGACTTAAACCCAGCATTTCATTCCCTCTGCCACACTCCTTCTCCTTTATGGGCTTGGTTTGGAGGGAGATTCCATCCTAGTTCTCAAAGAGCTTAAATATCAGCCATTTAAGACTATTAGGGAGGATAAAATGGATACAAGTAAGAGTACCGAGTTGTAAGATTAAATGAAGGGAAAATTGCCTCCAATTGAGGTGGTGATATTTAGATCAAGAAAATACCTAGAACGGGGCTTAGTGACTCTAGTTTCTACACAAATTTTGATAGTTTGATCCTTGAACAACTTTGGGGACAGCTCTGGGCTGTCTTCTGTTCTATTTTACATAGGTTATCTGATCGCCTCTGAGCAGGGTTCCTTCCTATAGGCTTAATTTAACTTTACATGATTCCTGTTAGCTATGAATGGCCTTCTTTTTTTTTAATATTTTCTTTTTTTCCCCTGTTACATGTAAAAACAATTTTTAACATTTGTTTTCTAAAATTCTTTCTCCCCACCTGCCTTCTTGAGAAGGCAAGCAGTTTGATATAGGTCATACATGTGTAGTTGTGCAAAACATTTTCATATTAGTTATGTTGTGAAAGAAAACAGACAAGAAAAACCCCACCCATGAAAAATAATAAAGTGATAAATAGTATGCTTTGATCTGCATTCAGACTTAATCAGTTCTTTCTCTGGAGGTAGATAGCATTTTTCATCATGAGTCCTTTGGAATTGTCTTGGATCATTGTGTCACTGAGAATGGTGAAGTCATTCACAGTTGACCATTGTATAATATTGCTGTTACTATGTACCATGTTCTTCTGGTTCTGCTCATTTCACTTTTCATCTGTTCACGTAAGCCTTCCCAGGTCTTTCTGAGGGCATCCTGCTTGCCATTTTTTATAATAGTATTCCATCACAATCATATGCCATAACTTGTTCAGCCATTCCCCAGTTGATGGAAAGTGGCCTTTCTAACTTGGCTTATTACACTTTACTTTTAAATTCTTACTTCCATCCTGCTTTGGGCCCCAGTAGTGGCCAGAGCCCTGCAGAAAGTCAGCAAACACAGCGGGAGAGCATTTGAGAGAGCCTAGTTACTAATGAGGAACAATGTATAATAACTTTGATGTCTAATTTGTAGTTATTCACCAGAAACTTTCCTAGCCTTGACCAATAGACGTATATGTTTGCATGTCCTATTTGTGTGTGTATTTTGGTCCTAATCTGTGTCTTCTTTGGTTCAGGAAGCTCCCCGAGAGAAAACTCTCTCTGATATTATGGCTTCACAGCCATTCTGTAACTTAGAGTCTTTGAGAGCTTACCCGAGTTTGCCAGCCAGATGGTGTCGGGTAGAACTGGAACCTAGATCTTCTTCGTTCCTGGGCTAGCTCTCTCTACAACCCCATGCCTTAGAGCTAGAAAGCCCAGAGTTCTAGTCCCATCTTTGATACCTATTAACTCTGACCTTTGGCACATTACCTAACCGCACGGGGCCTGATGGTGGAGTTGTTGGGGGTGAGGGTTTCTACCAAACTATCAAAGTCACAGGTCCAGTGAAAAAATGAAAAAGCATACACCCACTCTCATGTCCTGAGCTTTTTGTTGTGATACTATTTACCAGCATAGAATTTGACCTGGAGTAACTGTGTTCATATGCTTCTATGGCTGTTGTGCTTGGAGTTAATATTATAAGAAATAAATATAAAAACACTTCCCACTGTTTTAAAGTATGCAATAGAAACAGAAGCATTTTT